ATCCAACCCCCCAACCTTCTTCCCCAAGCTTTTAGGTTTCTTTCTCTCTTCATGCTTTACTATACTACTATTAGACCACTATCTTTTGGCTTCTTTTGTTGCAGGCAACCATGGCAAAAAATTAGGAAAGGCAATCCAACTTGAATCTAGTGGGTTTCGACCCTACCCAACCTATTAGGGTCTTTTTTTTTTAACGGGCATCGTTCATGTTAGGTCTGGTCGGTTAATATAGGAAAAAAATCAAGGTTAGATTTTAAGTAGACTTGACCTTGCCCAATCTGATATATATAAATATTTTTTAATTATTTATTTAATTTTATATTTATACATTTATATATTTATTTAATTTTATATTTATATTAAAAATATTATTTTATATATAAAATAATAATTTATTAATTTTGGGTCGAGTCGGGTATAATTTTATACAATATCAGGTCTGGTTAAGTTCAAGTATTAAAAAAAATCATGGGGTCAGGTTCGATTTAAGTTTTATATAAATGTGTAATCGATCAAATTTGAGTTGATAAAGTATTAAACTCGAGCTCGATTTCAAATTCAAGAGTCGAAACTCAGCTCGAACTTAATCGAGTTTTTTTTTAGCTCGAGCTCAACTCTAGATAGAAATCGACCTACTCAAACTCACTCGATTAGGCTCAATTAACATATAAAAATTAGCTCGATCTTATATGCAATAAAAACTCGATTATTTATACTCGAGCTCGAACTTAAGTTTAAAATATTTTATCAGTTAAAATAATTAAAATATATTAAAATATCAAAGCTTGATTAGGCTCACGAGTTACTCAAGTCAGATATAAGAATGCTTAAACTCAACTTGATTAATAAGTCAAGCTCCTTGAGCTTGAACTCGACTCGATAATAACCAAGCTAAATTTGAGTTTTATTCAAGTCGAATGTGAGTAGCTTGCGAATATTAATGTATCATTTACACATCTAGTTTTATATATATTTGGGTTGGATTTGAGACAGGCAAAAACCCACCCCGACCTGACCTGTTGCCATCACTACAAGAAATCCAACTTGTCTCACGCCAAGGTTGTCTCCTTTATTCAAAAATAGCAATCTTGGGCCTCTACTTTCTTTTTTCCTTTAGTGTTTTTCCATTGAAAGCCTATAGCTTTCATGTGACATCCTCATTTCCCTCTCTCTTTTTTTATTTATAAAGAAAATAGTTGAGCTTTTTCCTTTGGTCAACTTTCAAGCCAAATTCATCGCCTTTGTCTTTTGCTTTTATCTTTCTTGTTGGGGCCATTCTTCATGATCCATACGGGTTCATTTTTTGGCTTTTAGTTAGGCTGAATAATGGGCAAGATTATGGGCTCCCAAATGGGCCATGAATTAGGCTTTGTAATTGGGTCTCTAAATGAGTGAATTTGTGGATGTTTCATTTGGGTCGATGTGGGCTCCATTTTGAAGCTTCGTAAAAGGTCTTAAAAGGGTCGCAATATGGACCACATTTTTTGCTTTAAAATAAGCCTTTAAAATAAACAATATAATGGGTCTAAAAATAATGGTCTTAGCTTGTATCAACAATGTTAAAATATTTTGGATAAAATTCGGTATCTATAATAGTATTTTAGCAAGCAAAAATGAAACCATTATATTAGTTGTGACTTCCACCATTGTCAAACAATTCAAAGGTAAGTTAATAAAATTGTATTTTAATTAATTTAGTTTTAACCCCAATTATTTAAACAATGTTTCTTATATTGAATATTTAATTCAGGTAAATGCAATCATCTACGTTAGCAACATAAGTATATAAGAATTTGGATATACCTGAAGCTATTATAACTATAAATAGGTACTTACATATTTATCAATAGCAAATATACGTTATTTAAAAAAAATATTAAAACAAGAAAAAGATATAATGTATTTAAAAGAATATATATATATATTATAATATCTTATGCAAATACAGCCAAATTGCTGGTGATTCTCAAGTCCTAACAACAATAAAAAAAGTCATATTTTCCAAAGAAATGTTATTTGCAAATAAGAGATTGATAATTGATATTTATTGTGTCATGAATGACAATTCATGCAAGATAAAAACTATAGATTTTAGTTAAATATATTTCAATTTAAATATATATAAAATTATAATTAAGAAAAAAAAATCTTATTTTTACTACTAATAAGAGAAATTTTCACCTGTCGAGGTACTTTAATGCCAATCGACAAAAGATATGGATGGTATTATTTGTCATGTGCAGTGCATAAAAAAAAGGTATTAGAAGTTGACGGAGGTTATGCCTACAAGGATTTTTTACATCAAATCCAACTTCCAATCGTAAGGCATCATTAATTTCCATCAACATTATATGTCAATTTAAGTAAAATTTATTAAGAAATTTTTAAATAAGTAATTTTTTAAAACATAATCATTTGGATATTTCCTTTTTTTTTCATTTTTTTCAATTGAAGGTAAATTTGATTATTATTAATATTTTATCATAGGTACAAGTTAATTATTAACGTATCGAATGAGCTTAGTAATGCACCATTTGTCCTTTTTGTTGGAAAAGTTAATCAAATTCTAAAGTATATAACTAAATAATTGTTTCAAATGAAAATTGAGGTTATATTATATTCAAAATAATTTTCTAAATTCGTATGAATATCAATGTTATTTAATTAAATTTATATAAAACTCACTCCTAGGAAAATGGAGATGCCAAAATGGAAAAAAATTGGAAAAGTTAATAAGTCGTTCATATATTTTCAAAGTAGAACTCAATTATTACAATTTTTTTCATGGAAGTTCAAGATTGATTATTATACATGTTCACAAGATACATGATGCAGAGAAAAGTTGGTATTTACTTGAAAAAATACAAAAGGCAAGTAATTTAATACATTTTATTAAAACCTTTTGCCAATAATTTTCTTAAATAATTGTTTACAATTTAATATTATTACTTACTCAAAATTTAAAACTATTTCATTTCAATTTTTACATGAATATAATTTTGTATTAGATGTCAACCCCAAAACAATTGAAAGGCATAAGTATTTGAGAAATCATATAGATGCTAAAGATCATGATATTACTAAAACTCCTACCAAAAAAATATGTACATGCTACTAAGTTATTATGTATATTATTTAAACATTTAAAATCATTATTTCTCTTAAATAAATAAAACTTATCTTAAAATTACATAAATCTGTAGGTGTATAAAAATGATAAGAGAAACTGGACATGATGCAAATTAAATAAAGTTCATTTGAAGTGATAAAACGTTTAGTTTCTATTTTAATACTTTGTTGATATACTTAATGATATTATTTGCAATATCTTTTGGATATTTTTTCTTCCTCCAATATTATTTATTATAAATTTTAAAGTTTGTCAATTTTTTAATTAAAATTTTTATTTTTATTATAATTTGATATTCTTAATTATATTAATTATATTATTTATATATTTTAAATATATAAATAATTCAATAATATTAATTTATATTTTTATTTAAATTTAAATAAAATAAAAATAATTAATTCATCACATGGATAGTAAATTAGTTATAAAAAAATAATAATGAAAAAGCTTATGGAGAAGCTTTAATTTTTTTTTCTTTTCAAATTTATCCTTCATTTTTTTCATGACATTGAAAAGGTATTGAGCAAATTAAAAAAGCAAAACTTAGAGACAATTTTTATTTATTTATTTATTTATTATTATAGGTACGGCGTATTGTAAAACTGCAACTTAAATCCATCTAAAAGTAATCTTTAGATTTTGCTAGATAAAAATGATAAAAATGGACAAGGATAAAAAATTATTAATTCAATGAGTAAATTATATAATTATTTTTATTTTATAACTTAATCATTAAATAAATAAAATTTTCATTATCACCCATTTTCATATTTTTATTTGGCAAAGTTAGGATTGACAACTCAATCCAAATTCGATGGATTTCGACTCAACCTCATAAGATCGATTTTTTTTTTTGAAAATTAAGTTTTGAATCGGATCGAATTCGAATTTTAGGTAAATTTAACTTGATCCGATACTATATTAAAAATTATTTTTTAATTTTTTATTTATATATAATTATATATTTATATTTAAAAATAAATATTTTGTTAATTTTAGATCGAATCGAATACGATTTATATAATATCAAATTTTGAATTAGATTCAAGTATTGAAAAAATAAAAAAAATTAAATCAAATACAAATACAAATTTTATAATTAAAAAATTAAATTAAATTTAAAATAAATAAAAATTCATCCCGATCTAATGGGACTATAGGAATTCGCAACGTGGTACTTCCTCACCTCGGTTGCCAAAAATGACAGATCACAGCTTTCTTTCTGTAAAAGTAAACCTAACTCAACACCTTTTGGTGATTTCTCTGTACCAACAGGACATCTCTTTTTCCTTCGGCTCGTTTCTCCAAGCCAACACAACCGAGGCACTACCAAAACAGAACGATCGGTTCTCGTTCTTTGCCTTTTGGTTGATGTTGTTACTACTATTGGTTTCTATTGAAGTTATCTAAGATGTTTTCCAACTGCCTGAAACGCCATGTTTTGTTCATCTCAAGTTACCTGCCACAGGACCTCCCCAACCCACCCCCCCCCCCAAAAAAAAAAAAAACGAACTAAATTCGATATACTGTTTCCAGTAATTATTGCTGAAAGCCTTTCAGTAGATGAGACAACATGTTATTCGAACATAGTTTTTTGCTGAAATGCAGAAAACCATATCCAGAAATGAACAAAAGAAGATTCACCTTCAGTATCCTAAAAGTCAGCATCTACTTTAGATGAAATTACGTTATACAATTACTATTGGTGACTAGAGATATTTGTAAGAACTATTCTACAGTCATTTAACCAAAATTTTGAAGGAAAAGAGTGATATGAGCCAAATTGCCCAACAGAAAGTGATAGTAACAGAGAAGGAGAATAAAGAATGAAGAAGCAGAAAATAGAGGAAGAAGATAGAATTAGAGGTGAACTTGGAAAGAGAGAATTCTTTTTGATATTGCTAAACTGAATATCATGCACAATACCCCCAGCTCCCCTTTATGCTGAGCCAACACTGATGACAGCTGCATTTCGAGGTTCTTACAGTGCTCTCACACTCCATTTGCCTAATCTGTAACTAACAGCTGGAAATAAAACAAGAGCATAAAGGCCTTGGCACTGGTCATACATGAAACAGCTTAACATTAAATAAATTAGGCCCATAGTTAAATTTCAAACCCAATAACACCTGATTACAACATTCAGCCTGTAACAAAGAGGGACAAGCATGACTTTTCCTTCTCCATTTATATATTTTCAGGAGGTTGAATCCATTTCTCTGAGGCTTCTGAAAAATTAATGGATTAGATATTTCCTTCGGGTCTGCTTTCATAGGATTTCATGTCTCGCTTTCAGGTTTCTGAGATGGAGGCATTGCAGCAGCAGGTTCATTGGCAGTGGCTGTCACCAATTTACACAAATAACATCACATAGAGAAAGGGAGAGGCAAGACAGAGAGAATTAGAAGAAGAAGAAGAAGAAGAAGAACCAACCTTCATGTTGAATTTGGGATTCTAACTGGCTTTCTCCAGGAAAGGTAGTCTGGCCCTGCTGTTGAGAAGCAGAAGCTTTTAGCTGCTCTTCTGTGATCTTTAGGTACTCTTCGCTAGTATAAGCCTCGTTCAGGGATGGAGTACCATCTGCAGTTGGGTGACAAATTGCATGATTCATTGAATTTCTTTGAAAGACATAGAGAGAATGGGAAAAGGAATAAGAAAGACCACTCCACTAAGCCATAAACAGCAGGATTGACCACTGTTGCGTAGCATTTAATACAGGCTTCAAGGTAAGAGATCAAGCAATAAGATAATTGAGATTCGAAGGAAAAATCTCATGAAGGACCAGAAACCCTAAGACAAATTCATGCCACTAATAGCCTTAAATATAAGAATATAAAGCACTCACTGGGGTCAGCCTTAGCACCAGATTCCTCAGTGCTGGTAACTGATAAAGGGGTTGGGGTAGGGTTACTTAGATAGGGGCTGTTTCTATTCAGTGTATTTTGTGTTGAACTTGACATTTCGTCAAGACCAATCTCCCTCTCAAGGGTGCTCTTGAATTCCCTTGAAACTTCCTTCACAGAAATAAAGAAAGGTGAAGAAGTCAAGGACAATTGGACAAAGCTATCAAAAGGTAAAGATATAAGTTAAACCAAAGGACTCATACCATACCTGAAGTTCTCTAATGGTGGGTTGAAATGCACGCAATGTTTTTCCCAGATTCCGAGCAACCAGCACTTTAGTAGGCCATTGAGATGCCAAAAGGATTTTAACTTGAACAGAATATTATCCTAACTATATAATGTTCTGTTTGGTTGCATATTACTTGGTACTTGGTTTTTGCTTCCTCAAAAGTTGCTATAAAGAATACGTTGAATGGTACAAGGAAAATCATATTCAACTAAAAATGAATATGCAGCTCGAATATGACACATATTTAAACATAATTATCTCATATAAAAGGAAAATCATGTATTCTATACAAGATTTGACAAAAGGACCAAAATAAAACCATTTTGAAAAGTGAGGGACCCAAATGAAACAATTAGAGATTACGGGTTAAACTGAAACTGATAAAAGGTTAGGGATCATAAGTGGAATTTACCCCCAAAACTAAATTTTCTATTTTCTATTTTTCATCATTTAAAATAAGTAGCAAAAGAAACAATTAAATGCAGCCTAAACAATTAATAATTAAATCTTGCTAAACACCCAGAATAATAATTTAACTTCCAGGAAGGCATCAAAATGATTGCCATGCAGTTGTAAAAAAAAAAAAAAAAACCCTTGATGCCTTTATAAGTAACACGATGCAACTTTTGGTTAAAGGATCAGAGCAGCCAGGCACCAACAATTAATAATTAAATCTTGTTAAACTCCCATAATAATCATTCAACTTCCAGAAAGGCATCAAAATGATTGCTATGCAGTTGTAAAAAAAAAAACTTGATGCCTTTATAAGTAACACGATGCAACATTTGCTTAAAGGATCAGAGCAGCCAGGCACCAACCTATCTTCTTTTAATGCCTTTATGGCACTTCGGACTTTGTGGATACATCATACCTAAAAATTGATTACAGACCCTTATCACAATAGTAAAGGAAGTATTCAACCCTCATATTTTAATAACATGGAGTCTAATTGATAAAATTTTATATATAGCAATATCAATACATCTTTTAACTCTACAGTCTCCACAAGTTAGATACTTCTAAATATCGAGCCATTTAGTAAAATGACAAGATGGATCTCATCTCAGGTAAAGACATAACACTTAATCCTAAAGATATGTATCACTAAAGACCCCCAAGCATGCCCATCAGGGAGGCACAAGTTAGCAAGAGCTCGGAGAGGACAACGGAACTTAAGAGTTTAAAATAGGGTAACACAATGTTTTTTTCTTGCCAGACAATGGGATAGTCATGGGAGCCATAAAGTCAACAAAGATCAACAATCGGAATTCATTGGGCTTAGACTGTCACACGAAGAAAAGGTTTTCTCATCAAGGAGAATTACGCATTATCTTGTCAAAAGACACCACATTAAGTATGGTAACAGCAGCTAACAGTGTATTTTAGTCTGTTGATAGAACAAAATAAGACTTTCATCTCATCAGAAGGATTATCAATGATCTTTTTATCATCTAAGATGTTAAGAAGCCGTCTATTTATTTAGATGGTCCAGTGGATTCTCATCTAAGAAATCTCAAAATATTCAAAACTGCTATGTCGACAAGAAACCACATCGATTTCAGGCAAAGCTAAAATCATTTCTCAAGAAAATCCAACACTAGAACCGCTCAAATTTCTGGAAAAACGTTTTATCCTCCCAATCCCTAAACTAAAATTCTAACACCATACCTTTCCCTGACTTATGTTAGATCGTATACCATCTGTTTCGGGCTGTTCATTACTTGAAGTATTTATCAGAGATTAATATTTGAAAATAATTGCCAAGTGACCTATGTTTCCAAAGATTAGAACTACCTAAATCGAATACCATCATGAAAATACATAAACAAACAGTGTGGAAAATCATCAAATATTACAAGCCACAAAAGGGACAAGTGATGTGTTCTTGTTTATAATTGAAAGAACATGTAAATATCAATGAATCAACCTAAATATAGAGGTAGAACATACCTCAGCCAGACCCTTGGGACCAAACACCAACAAAGCTACTACCCCAATAACCAGAACCTCGGGAGCTCCAACTCCAAACAGAGATGCTTGAACCACCTTACCTTTACATCTCCCCTTTTTTTCTGCACCACCATCATTCATAAAAAACAAAAAAAACATAATTAAGAATCAAAATAAATTATCTTTAAAGAAAAAAATACAGCTTAAAAAGGAAACAACAAAAGGTACCTAATTTAAGAGATTTTGGTGAGATTGAAATGCCCAGATGCTTTAGACCGCTCCATTGACAAAAAAGAGCTGGATCCAATTGAGGAAACCACTTGGCGAAACTGAAATTCGAGGCTTTGGGATATGAAACCAAAGGAGAGAAATAGCAGGTGGTTGACTTTGAGGCAACGGAAGAAGTGCACAAGAATGTGGAAGTTGAGATTGGTGAGGCCATGACCATGATTGTGGTCATTTGAAGAGGTAATTTACTTTTGAGTTTTAGCAGAGCTTAGATTTTTCGAAGTATAGACATGGAGGGACCAAGATTATCTCGAATTGAAAGACGTCGAAAATGCTCCCAGAGTCAGAGCTGATCTTATTCTACCCTGAAGGCCTGCCTGTCAGGCCCAGTTTTCTTGGATGTGTCCTGACTAGACTCTCTCAATCCATCAGAATTCAGAGATGACAAGTTATCGGCTTGATTGGAGCAGTTACAGGCTCCTACATCGTGCTTGGGGTAACCCAAATTATTGGGCTCATCCTCGTTGTTCAATGAACATGAGTTACATGACTGGCGATAAGAATCGGCTGAAGCTGATGTTTATTTGTCTTCCCCACAAGGCTAAAGTTGCATTTGCAGCACTGTTAAATGCTAATCTCTTTTTTTGACTTTCATAATACTTCCATTTCAGTTACATGGACTAAAGTGCTTGGCCCATCCATTAATGGAATATTGTCCATCTCATAAATGGTACCATGCCCGTGGAATTCCTTATTCTAATATCGTTCACTTTTGAATTGTTAGTCAAGATTAATCCACTAAATGATGGGGGAAAAAAAATTCAGAGTGGTAAAGCATCTTGAACGACTCAAGTTTAATTTATAATCCATTCGATCACAAACATACTTTTGATTCAAATTTAGATTCATAATCTAGTTTTTGGCAAATTGTTAGTAAATTGAGTTTGGAAAGTGATTCAGAAGAAAGCCAGCTTATATACATGATAAGGAGGGATGGATGAAGCACGTGGTGTGCGGTTGGTAACAAGGCATCTGCATGCCATGCATGTATCTGTGAGATCCCTCCTCCCTCGCATTTTTTTTCTGGGGGAAGAAAAAGAATAGTGTTGAGAGAAACATATGGGTAGTGGAATTAATTTTTTGTAAGATGGGATGGAATCGAGATTTTATTTATGAACTTTATAAATTTTGGATCAAATCCTCACCTACTTGAAAGCTTCAACATGTGGTGTGCCGGTTTAGCTTTTGCCTGGTAGGACCGTAACCATACTCAGCCACCCCATATGCGGGTCAGTGTCTGAAACATCCACCCTCTTGGACCCCCCTCCCCCCTATATGATGAAAATTTTTTTAATGGGTTTTTTTTAATGGCTTCATTTGCTTAATTAGTTACAAAATTAAGATGTATATATGCATGGTTTTCTAGAACAACAATTACCAACTTTAATTAACATTGTTACCTTTTGCAACGATATTGCTTTACCTTTGTCATCGACTACACGAGTGGGAGAATAAAGAAGTGAATCTATCATAATTTGGAACTTTATAACTCATTATCAAAAAATAAAAATTAAAAAAAAGAATGAGAGGGAATAAAGGCAAACATGACTTAAAAAGAAACCCTCCAAAGATTATAAGATTAGAAGTTGATATACGAATCATTGCCGTTGCAATCCGACTTTTCCAATCACTATCATCTTTTAGTTACAGAGGTAAAAGTAATGAAATCCATGTAAAAAATTTAGAACCACCAAAAAAGAAAAATAAAAGAGAGGCTTAATCAAACAATTCTGTTTCTTTTTAACCATTTGAAAGATTTCATTTGATAAGGTAATGATAAAGAAGGAAAAAACGACACGAAGAAGAAAAGGTGGAATGGAAAGAGCGAGAAAAGAAGGGGAAAGAGCCAAAAGAATGGGAGTTGCGATATCATTATCAAAGAGGAAAAAGATAAGGGCGTGGAGAGAGAGAGAGAGAGAAGGGGAACCAACCGTGCAAAGTTTAGTTTAATTTAAAAAATATATATATGGAAAGAGAGAGAGGCGCGTCGCTGTCCTACGTTACGCATAAAACCCATTATTCCAACAAGTAGATGAGCGCACGTGCGCAGTTTGACAAAGGAGTTCCCTTGTTCCAATGTAACAATAATCATTTATAGAAAGAAAAGAGGACGTAACGGAAGATATTTTATGTTATATTTTATTGTTTTTAATTAAATTAATTTTTAATACATAAATATGTAATGAGAGATTTTATTTTTATTGTCCCTTAAAGTTACTAAATAGAGTAATAGTTTGTGTTATGTTTATTAATATTTACTTATTTAAATCAAATTAAGTTTTAAAGATAAAACTAAAATTTTAATAAATTTAAGTTTGAGTTGTAATCATATGGATTATTCAGATTTTCACTTATTCTTTCAATTTGCTTTTTAAACTCAAAATTATTATCATCACTCACTCTTCTATTTACACGTAAATTAATTAAAATTAAAATTATTTTAAAATTAGACTGATGTTCTCACTTCATTGAGAGGTTTTTTATAAATTTTTTTTATTTAATTAATTTTAAAATATGATTTTAAATTATATTATATTATATTAAATAAAAACTATTCAATAATTTTTATTTTTTATACATTTAAATGTATGTATTAATATTGATATAATCATATTTTATTAATTATGAAAATTAAATATATAAAAATTACATAATAAAAATGTATTTGAAAATTTAACTTATATGTACTTTTACTTAAATACAAATAATAAATGTAAACAAAATTAGGATATTATTCATAAAAGAGGTCAGGCCATTTTTTAAAAACCTTGGTCTTAAATCTCCGGCTAGTTAATTCTCTTCAAATTAATCAATTTTATAAAATTTTTCAAAACTTTAATTCAAAATTCGGACCCAAAAGCTTTTTTTGAAATATTTTATAATAAAATGATTATTTTATAATATTAAACAACTGTTAATTATTTATACTTTTGAGTTACTTGGTCATTTTTTTGGCATTATTTCACCTTTCAATAGTTGAGTGGTTTCTCAAGTGATTTCTTGCATTGTAATTGGTTCCAACAGTTGACTCGACATTCATTGATTGGTGGCATGAGAAAGGGATAATCAATTATGAGCAAAAATGACGATGTAATTTATTATGCAACCTATGAATTCAAAGTAAATAAGTTTTTTATTTCACTAGTTTGTCCTTCATTCAAAATTTGGGACCGACTCCAATGTTTTCTTTCTAAGTATTTATATATTTCCTTTTTATTGATAACATGGTTTAAAGTTGAAACTCAAAATGAAAAGTTAAAGAGATTTAAAACCTTAACATTCAGTAATTATAAATTTAACGAGATTTGAGATCTGACAAAAGTAGGGAAGAAGATGAATTTCATCTAAATAAATAATAGACTTGATGATATGACAGAAAATTATCATTTAAGCAAATTGAAATTTATAGGGACAATTTATATATATTATTATTGTTTCTTCTCTAGTTTAATTGAAAGTTGAGTCTAATTTTATCTTTATCTTAAAAATCATGACATGATTTAGTAGTTATTCGAATCACATCGTATTTTTAATGTGATGAGATTAAACTCATTGTATCTTCAATCGAATTTAAATATCAATTTTTTAGTGAGAGCAAGTTAATATAAATTTAAAAAAAAAATTTAATTATAATTATAATAATTTTTTTCAATCACAATTATAATAAATTTTATTATTATTTTTAATCTCATAATGACTAATCTCAAAGTTCATCTAAATAGAACCTTAATTTAATTTGTAAAAATTTTTTATGTTTATTTTACTTTTATTCAGATTTGTTCATGTCTTTATGTTTTAAACAAATAAATTTGAGGATAAACAGATAATTTGCTTTTTTAATCTACACCTTTTTCCTTAAACTCTACGAAGAAAAATCTATTAATTGATTTAAAAACAAAAAAAAATCTAATTTGATAGAAATAATTATTAAAATGATAGTTTTTTTTAATAAATAATTATTTTAACGGTAACAATCAGTACAGTTTTTAAATCCACACTTTTTGTAATTTTACTTTTTGATAATGTAGTTTTATTTGCGTTACTACAACTTGCAAAAGCACTTTGCCGCATCGACTCCATCCAACAGCTATAATTTGTCCCTCACAATCGAACGATCGAGGTTAAAGAGAATGATAATTTTTTGCGCACCATACAACCCACATACGGAATTGCTTGCTTTTCTCTTGTGAATAAAAAATATCACTTTAAATATTTTATAATTTAAAATATAATATGATAATATTATATTAATATAATAAAAAAATATAAATATAATAAAATTAAAATTTTTAATAATAATTATGTATGAATTTAATAAAATAAAAATATATATTTTATATTTTTATATCGACACAAATTATAATATATATAAATAAATTTTAATATTTTATATGATATAAATTATTAAATTATTAAATTTAACAAATTTAGCTGGTTTGCCAACCATTGCTTGCCTTTGTCCCATTAAGGATTTTTTTTCTTTATTTCTATGTAAGGTTTTTTAATAAATAAAAAATCGTAACTTAGGAATAATGAAAATAATTGTAAGTGTAAAATTTGAATCTTTAACTTATCATGTACCACTTTTTAAATGTGAGTATATAAATTAATTAAATTAAATTTTAAATTTTTACTTTCATATAAGTTGTATAAGAGCAACGCTTAGATCCTTAAGATGGATTTCTAAAAAAAATAAACATTTTTTTAAATAAAAAAATCATTTATAAAATAAATATAAGTTTTAATCATTAGAAATGTTAATAAGTGTCTTAAACAACGCTTAAAGTTTAATTTTAAAAACTTAAATTAATGCAATATCATATCTTATTTTGAAATAATAATGCATTCAATATAAAAATCATTTATAAACTAAAAATGTTTAACAAACTACTTATTAACACTTGTTAAGGTGGCATTTATATAAAAAATTATAATTAATGCATTATTTTATCTTGAATTTATTGAAACATTGTATTAAATGAACTTTTTTTTTTTCTAAAATGGTATTTTTATCTATTCTTATTAAGAGCTTACAAGAATCCATTAATCAAAATTTTTTTTAATTATTCTTAGCTTTAATAAAAAGTTCTCATTTGACATTGAATTCATATGAAAATACGAGGAGTGACAAACTATTACCATCGCGCTTTGAATTTTTTTAGTTGATGTATAAAATATTTTTAATCAAAATCCTTAAATATATACTTAATTATCAATATGATATTTCGTAATATTCATAATAATTAAATTTTAAAAATTTTATTTTAAATTATCAAATTTAAAGTTAAAAAAAGAAACATAAAATTAAAAAATAAAAAGATGGATTAAACCAAAAACCAACTAACTTTGACGCAATTACACGTATAAAAGAAATTATCCTTAATAAAATTTGCATATCTTTAACATGGAAGTTAAATCAATACAATTCATAAGAAAACTCTCATGCCCATTTCTTTCACTCATTTTTTTATATTTAAAAATTAAAAATTATTTTTTAATTATTAAAATTATAAATTTATATATTATCAATAAATCAAGATTAATTTAATGATCAAATCCCTCTAACACACGGGCAAAAAATAGTTGTTCCATCCATTTTAAGTGGAGATTGATGATTGGGTTAGCCATACTGAGGTGGTGTTGTTTTGTTTAGTGGGATGGCCCACAAAAGGCAGGTGACAGAAAGGCAGTCACGAGAGTCTTGCATGGGGGGTGGAGGGTGGGGCATCGGCGGCGGGCAGCTCACAAATGCACACGCACGTTACATTTGCATTACAAAAAATCACGAGTATCTCACACCATTTTCCCTTCTTTGGGTCGCCATAACTGGCTGCGTGGCAATTGGCATCATGAAATTGAATAAAGTGAAGGGCCATCCCGTCAGACTAGTGGCTACGAAAATATGCGAAGCGTTATCTTCTTGGGGTGAAAACTTAGTATTTTTGCCAAGGTTTCGTTTGTTTGACTACGAAACCCAAAAGTATTATAATTACAAAATCAATATTATTTTTTCTGTTGTTCGTACAAAAATATAATATTAATAATTAGAGAAAGCCAAAAGAGTGAGGATAGACAGCTGTTTCTTGTCCACTCTGTCATCTTTATTTCGTGAGCAGTATGATTTAACCACGTCATATTATGAATCTTATGCCAAAAAAAAAAAAGAAATGAAATTAATAATTTTCAAAGTGTCATTTTGTAAATATTTTTAAATAAATGATATATTTTATTTTAAAAAATAGAATAAATGAATGATATATTCCTTTTGTACTCTCTTTTTTATTTTTTTAAATGTTTTAAAATTAAATTTTATTTTTTTAACATCTAAAATTTTTATTTTTTTATATTTTAAAATTATTTATTTTTAACATTAAAAATTATAAAATTTTAATTTTATAAAAATTTTTAAAATTTAATATTAAATATATTAAAGTTAAAATTTTTTTTAAATATCGTGAAAATTAATAAATGAGAAATATTTTGGTAAGGAAAGAGTAATTGGTTCATGAACTTTCCACATGAGTCCATAAATTACAAATTGAAAAAAAATAGAAAATTTTTATTCGAAAAAGAAAACAAAATACAGGTTGAAATGAAAAAAAAAAAGCAGTGGGTCCCAATCATTTTTAAGATGACGTGGCAATAACTCGGTGCAAAATGGATGAAAACTGGAGGATAACGACTGAAGGGGGAACTGAATCTGAACCGGTGGAGAAGGCAGAAAAAAAAAAGAAATACAGAGCTGATTTAGGAATCTATATGTATTTGATTTAAAAAAAAAAAACTCACATTTTCAGCTTGTAAAATTTTTAATTTCTTTTATTTCACTCCCTTTGTCTTCAAATCGTTGAGAGCTAGAACAGATTCAAAGTTACATGAAGCTGATGTTATTAACACATCGTTTTAAGCTTAGAAATCGAAGATGAGAAGCGTAAACGACAGCGTCGAGACCGTCAACGCCGCTGCCACAGCCATCGTCTCCGCTGAGTCAAGGGTCCAGCCTACCACCGTTAAGGTATATATTTATGTATGTATATTAATTTTTTTTTTTGAGCATATGTATGTATTATATAATATGAATTTTAACATCCACTTTTATTAGTATTATTTCTAAAATTTTCTTTTGCCATTTTTAAACGCGGTCTTTTTGTTTGTTTGTTTTCTGATTGGTTACCGAGAAAATTACTGGAAAATTGGAATTTTGAGATTACTTAAGCTCTGTTTTGAATTGAGAATCTGTAGGGGACAGAGAAAAGGACAGAGCGGAAAGTGGAGTTTTGGAAATTTTGTTCTTTGCTTGCTTTTTTTATGTTGAAAAGTCTGAAATTCTATTTCTTGATTGTTATCAGTATTGAACTTTGTTGCTTTTTCTTTTTCTCTGCTTGGTTGCCGAGAAACTGAGGGAAAAGTAAACAGAGTTGAAATTCGGATATTGAGTTTTAATTTGTTTTAGTCTTAGCAGGCAAGTCAGTTAGCTGAGCTAGGCTCAGTCAAGGTTCCGGTTTTACTTTTTGGGTTTTCATACAAACATAAGATAAAAAAGGAAAAATCTTAACATCAGAATTCAAATTAGAAAAAAAAAAAATACAAAAATCGCTTGATAGTTTATATATACTTTTAAAGCGAGACTTGATTTTAGAAAGTTTAGGCATTTATTTATTTTTAAGTAAAAAATGTAAAATTTTTCTGTAGTTTGATTATTTGGTCAGTTTTCTGCAATTCCTAAATGCGTTGGCTAGGTGGGGCAGCTTTCTATTCATTCTAGTGTCTTTTGTTGAAAAATTCTCTGATATTAGGCTAGAGTGAATTACAGCAAATTTTTTTAAATGATATTAGGTTATGGTTGAAAAATAAGGAGATTTGGTTAACACAATTTAAAAGAAATGGAGCTTAATTGGTCATTTTATATGAATGGTTTACGGTTTTTCTTTTTGTTCTATTTCCCATTTGAATGAGATGCCTATGGAACATCTTCTGGGAAGAATGAAATTTGCAGTCTGGTATTCTTGCATTAAAAGTAATTCTTAAAAAGAGTGCAATTTGCCGTCTAATGTGTAATCTTCATTAGAATTCTAAAACAGTAATTAGTCACATTAACTGCTTGCTCTCCTTGCATTTTTTACAACAATTTTGGCTTTGATTTAAATGGTCAATGCTGTCATAAAACACATACGCGCACATGTTGAGACTTGTTTCTGCTGCTTTCATCTGAATCTTGTGCTAGTGTGATTGAACCCTTTTTCATGTATACCACATTGTACATGCGAATTAGCCAAGCCATATGAAAAACCAGAGTTTAATAAACGTATTGCAATTATAAGATATTGCTCCAGGCAGAGAAAATTTTATTAACTTTTGATGCAGAATTAATCATCCTAATGTACTTATTATCGTCTTGCTATAACAGACGGAGGAAAATGCTATTTTAGAGTCTAGATAGATGCCATTAGATGTGAAGTGCACTCTCCCTTTTCTTTTAAACTATATGTTTATTTCTAGACTTCAAATTTTTTGTGTTGATAAAGTGTGTGGCACATGGTATCCTCCAAAGATTCTGCACTAAGCAGCATAAGAGCCAATGCTTAACATTGGGTGGTTTTTAATTTTCAAATCAAATTATTCATGACTGCTGTAATACATTCCTTGAGGGGAGGTGAGGTGTAGAGACTGAAGATTATGTTCATCTTGCACTTCATTTAATCCTTTGCCCCCATCTTATTCTAGCGGCTGAGAGTTCAAATCAATGTACCTTGAGTGCTTGCTTCCTTATATAGAATACTTGAGGATAAAAAACTTGTTTTCTGTAGGGAATACTGATTCACACTCTTTCATTTAACTACAGAAGAAAAGATGGGGAAGCTGCTGGAGTCTTTACTGGTGTTTTGGATCTCACAGAAACAGTAAGCGAATTGGCCATGCTGTCCTTGTCCCTGAACCAGTGGTGGCTGGAGTTGCAGTCTCAACTGCTCAAAATGTGAGTAATTCAACTGGCATTGTAATGCCCTTTATTGCCCCTCCCTCATCTCCTGCATCATTCCTCCAATCCGATCCTCCTTCTGCTATCCAGTCACCAGCTGGATTGCTATCCCTAACTTCTCTTTCGGCTAATGCCTACTCACCCCGTGGACCTGCATCCATTTTTGCCATAGGCCCTTATGCACATGAAACCCAGTTAGTAACACCACCGGTGTTCTCTGCCTGGACAACTGAACCATCCACTGCTCCTTTTACACCCCCTCCTGAATCTGTTCAATTGACTACACCTTCATCCCCTGAAGTACCATTTGCTCAATTACTGACATCTTCATTGGAGCATGCTCGGAGAAACAGTGGGATCAATAAGAAATTTGGATTATCCCATTATGAATTTCAGTCTTATCAAATATACCCTGGCAGCCCTGGGGGTAATCTCATATCACCTGGGTCTGCAATCTCAAATTCTGGCACATCCTCTCCTTTCCCTGATAGACGTCCAATCCTTGAGTTCCGCATGGGGGAGGCTCCCAAAGTCTTAGGCTTTGAACATTTTACTACTCGCAAATGGGGTTCAAGGTTGGGTTCTGGATCATTGACGCCTGACGGACTGGGGCAAGGTTCAAGACTGGGTTCTGAATGTGTGACTCCAGATGGTATGGGCTTGGATTCAAGGTTGGGTTCGGGATCATTGACTCCTGATGGTTTGGGTCCTGCCTCACGAGAAGGTTTTCTTGTGGAGAGTCAGATTTCTGAGGTAGCATTGCTTGCTAACCCAGCAATTGAACCTAAAAATGATGAAATTATAGTTGATCACAGAGTCTCTTTTGAGTTGAGTGGCGAAGATATTGCACGCTGTCTCGAAAGCAAGTCACTGGTATCAAGTAGAACCATGTCAGAATATCCAAAGGACTTGGTGGCAGAGGGCAGGATAGAAAGAGATCTAACAATAAAGGATCAAGAAAGTTCTTGTGAGTTGTTTATTAGGGAAACTTCCAATGAAACAGTTGAAAAAGCTTCAGGAGAAGCTCAAGAGGAGCATTGTTATCAAAAGCATCGTTCCGTTACTCTTGGTTCAATTAAAGAGTTCATCTTTGACAACACAAAAAGAGAAGCTTCTGATAAACCCACCATCAGGTCCGAGTGGTGGGCCAACGAAAATGTTGTTGGAAAGGAAGCTAGGCCTGGTAACTGGACTTTCTTCCCTATGTTACAGCCATAGGTCAGCTGATTTTGAAACTATGCAACTTAGTTTCACCTCGATGCATAGATTTACGATACTAAACCACTAGCCTTTCGGTTGTTTGATCTGAAGATTGTACCTACTCAGAGTCACAGCTTCAACAGTCTGGTATAATTAGATGGTGTTGGACTAAAGAGGTCAGAAGAGTCTTTATTCCTTATGACATGAAAGATGATCCAATGAGGGAATAGTTCATAGGGATCAACAGTGTGGGTACTGATAGGGCATTTTTTTAATATTTCTTTACCTGATGTTATACCAAAAAAATGAATAATATTCACATATAGTGTTGTGATAGGATTGCTATTATTTTCTTTTAAACATGTAATAATAAGAAGGATGATTTTTTTCGTCATGGTAGTAACCTGCAGTTCATTTGATGATTTATATGGTTAATATCTTGCATTGGCATAGCATTCAAGTCGGAAAAACCAGTTCGGTGCAGTAGCAGTTGATGAGTCGATATGATTTTGATAGACAAATCTTTGTAGGGCATATAGATCGGTAAACAGAGTGAAGTTTTTTGGTTGACCAAAAAATGATGCCCATTTGTGATTGATGCCGGCATTTTCTATGCTGGCTAAGGATAAGCAGAACAACGTTGGTTAGGTAGCAGCCAAGGCTAATGTCTAGGTCCGCTGTCCCGCCCACTTATCCTAACAAAATAACAGGCAGAAAAGATGGAATAGGCTGTGTCCAACAGGAATGGACTGTTCTTCTTCACAAATCATAAGATCAATAGGGGATTTTTGGGACTCACTTCTGCTCTACTGTTTTTTAGCATCTGAGAAATGCTTCAAATTTGATGTTTTCTAGCATTATAGTAGATTGGGTTTTGTTAACTCGGAACTTGAATTTTTGCGAGTGAATCCAAACTTCACATTTTAAGGAGTTCACTCCAAAGTTTCAAGACTCTTCTTCTTAAAATTAGAAAAAATGTCCTAAAATTTTTTTGAAAAATAAATAAAAAAGAAAAGACAACAAATTAGAATTGGGTTGATTCGGCTTGTTATGGTTATAAATGGCCCTATACTTCAGCTATCAGTTTACTACATTTGGGGTCGGGTCAAACGGTGCCTCCTGCCGTTCATATTACAAATTCATTTTACTTTTACACCCTTATTTGGAAAATTTTCCTTTTTTATTTTAATCAAAAAGCAAAGTTTCCTTTTTTTCCTTTTCTTGTTATATGATTCAAAATCACAGCTCATCAACAAACTACAAAATTTATGGCTAAACTTTACATCACAGGACCACAAGACTCATAGAACTTTGTTTTCAGCTCTTTGATTTAATGATTAAAAAAAACTTAGGAAGATATATAAGATGAAAGTTCAAATCTTAGTATCCCTAACTCCTATCCAGTGTAAAAAAAAAAAAAAAAAAACTTCAAGAATAGCAAGAGAACTGTCGTTTTGAATGAAGTAAATAGTTTTCAAAGGTTCAATTCCATTCATCATCCAAAGAAGCGGGAATGGCCTGCTACAGGATTTACAACTGCAGATTACAGGAAAAAATTATGTACTCCCCAGTGCTGACCTGACAAAGTGATCGGGTCTGTCCCCTAAGTTTTGTTATAGCCCAATTGAATTCCTTATTCCAATTACCAAAGCCCTATGCCACATCTCATTGGATAACCTGCTGGTTAAAAGAAAGGGTATGTATATGTATCATTGAAACATATTATATTGACCAAATAAAAAGGAATAGTATATATCATAATTTAGGTACAAATTTTTTAAATTAAGATATTACATTAAGGTTATATTTGATATACAAAATATTATAAGATATAATAAGATGATATTATTATAAATAAAATTAAATTAAATAATATCATTCTATTTTGTATTTGATATACACAAAAATTAGAATAAGATAATATATCTATTTATCAATATTTTTTATCAAAGTTTATATAATTTAAATTATTGATATAATTTTTAAGGATATAATTGAACATGTAAGTTTAATCATATGAATTAAAAATAATCCTCTTTACTTGAAGAAGATTAAATAATTCTATATTATAAGGATATTAATTCTCTTTGCAATCCATCTTTTTTTCTTTAGATACAAATCAAAAATAATATAAGATAATTATTATCCTATCAATAATCTTATGTATCAAACATCACTTAAATATTTTACTATAATTTAGAGTCATTGGTAATATCAACTCTTTAAAAAAAATTCTAAATTTCCTTGGTGACTGCAGCATTGATGTAGAAACTGGAGCCTTTGCCAAAGTATCTGTTAATTCTATCCCTCCAAGTGAAATATATTACAGCACTCCAGGCCAGTCTTAGTAAAACAGTGATCAATGCTTTGCCCTTGAGAGTCTTCTTAGTCCAAATGAACTCTGAATTCCAGTCAACACGGTTGCCCACACACCCCAGAGATATCCAAAATCCTCCCCCTATAGCTCACAGCACGCTTTGGCACACGACCCTGTCATCCAGGTAATCACACTTATTGGTAATATGGTTGTCAGTGGATATCTTGAAAAAGCAGATGATTTAAGTACTTATGTCGGTGGCTCACATGGAAGAGTGAGGAGCAAGGGACTTAATATGCAGAATCTGCTTAATTTCTGCCATTGCAAGTGCTTTGTTCACCAATTACACATCTTGTATGGTTTTGACTGAATTTGTGTTGAAAATTGCAAGGCAGAATAATCTCCTGTCTCAAACTTTCTACTTGCCCTTGCCTCAAATACTAATAATGGATCTACAGCAACTCTTATTGGCTATTGGTAACCTCTAAAATTTGGTTATAGCCACGGAGAATGGGATTTCTTTCAGGGAACTCTTAACCGGAATTCTCCCTGCGACTGTACTAGGAGTTGTTGTCAATGCTTTTCTACTTATATTCATGTATTGGAACTGGTCATCTGCTCAGAAAGATGAAGAAGATTCAGCAGCAGAATTCTTTACTGAGGATAGTGTGAGTTCTCACTGGTTTTCACCAGCCACAATGTCATTTTTGGCATAATCTAGCTCTCAAGGATCACTCCCTGGGTTGGAAATTACTATGTCAAGCTCTCAATATTTTCATTCTTTCCTTTCACCAAATAAACAGAAAGTGCAGATAATTGCAAGTTAAAGTTAAACTACAGTACAAAACTACAGACATTAGAAACAATAACAGAACTTTCATTCCTAGACTAGATGCTTGAAATTTTGTTCAAGTATTGAACATCTGCTTTGGTGTTCATTTGGATCAGGTCTCTGGGACAAGGCAGGATGCCTCAGTTAATCTGTCAATTAGTTAATTTATAGATTCTCAGTTGCCACTGGACTTAAACTTCTTGAATATCATATCTGACTTAAATTCTTTCGCATTTTTGTCTTGAATGTGTGTGTGTGATATCTATAGTGGAAGCATACTGGCCTTAATTCTTTGTCCTTATGATGAAGCTTTTGTTTGTCTTGAATTAATATTGACACCATAGGTGACATCATTTAAACCATGTAAATATGAGGGGGATCGTGTAGCTTAATCCCAGCATATTTTCCTTGTCTCAGTTCTCTTTCTTGGGGCAAGGATGGCAGAGCATCAGCAGCATTGATTTCAATGAGAAGAAGGCATGGCTGATTTTAGCTTTATGTCAGTACTGTGGCTCGAAACGGCTCATTATTGGGATCTGCTGCCAACTTAATTGTGTGTGCGCAGTCCTGCAGCTGTTAGGGTATACACGATATTATTTGTTTTGATTTATTGGGTTTTACAGTTTTATCTCGTATAAAGTGTTTTATAGTTGAAAGTTATGTGAATATTTGTATTTTAAAATCAATTTTATTATACAGTTGATGCGAGTTTTACGACTCTTCTCTAGAATTATAATATTATCTCACTCTAACGAATATTCGGTGCCTTTGATAAAATATCATAAATATTTTTATAGTCGACTCTAATATCAAATATCACAATTTAAATTAACTTATGAGATGCACGTTGAGTTACAAGTTTCTTCTACTTTCACAAATTTAAGATTTTGTGAACATTTATACCTGAAAACCAATTTTAATACACAACCGTTTGTGAATTCATAGTTTTTCTCTAAGACCATCACACTTGCCGTGTTCCAAATCTGGGGTACATTTTAATCTTTTGGAACCATCTCAAATTCGAAGTCCCTTGCACTCTTTTAGTCACTGCCATTGGCTTGATACTGATTAGATCATAGCAAACAATACTTAATCACAGAGCATTTCAGGGTGCGATCAATTGTTCTTTATTGAAGCATAATAGAACATATGCATTTCCGGTTGTATGGTTCTCATTAAATCAATGATTAGATGACAAATTTTTTGTGGTTGGCTTGGGAAATTCCTTCTTGCATAACATGGACTTCGGCCTGGTATAACCTGATCTGGCCCCAATTGGATCCCAGGAAGTGACCGTGGCTGATCCCAAAGTTCAAATAGTCATAGATCCTTTACCAGAAATTTGGGGAAGCTGGGGGAAGTATAAAGGGGGCAAAGACAAAAGATTTGTGGTTTTTTCTACAAGGACTAATTCATGCAGTCCATCTCCTTTTTAAGTTTTAACGCCTCGACTATCTCGGCATGAGCTTTACAGCTCGCTTAAGTGAAGGAGAAGAATTTGCAAAAGTCCCTTTTTTGTATTACTATAAGATATTTTCGATTTTTAATTTAAGATCTTATTTTTTACAAAATAAAAGTTACATATACAAATTTAATATAAAATCAGAGCCGTCGGAGCAGGACCCACGTTCCGGATGTAACGCTTGGCGGCCTTAGCATGTAGCAACCCGCATGAAACATATGATAGAGTAAGGTAACGACAGGACAAATGCAAAGAGATGGGTGAGCAACGGGGAGATGTACCTATGCCAAGTTGCCTACAAGACATAATGATTGATAGTAATTGATAAGCAAAAAGGAAAGAAAGAAGGCAATTGTGGGGTCATGCCACGTGCACTGGTGATGGGGCTTAAATTCCAAAGGACCCCATCTTTTCCTCCTATCCCAAGCCTTTCCCACATGCATCTCCCCTTGAATTCACTGCTTTGCCAACCTTCTTCTTCATTTCCAAAGCCTCCCTGACTTTCTCCATCTGCCATGCCTCATCAAATTATAACACTCTCTTTCTCACTTTCTTTTCCCTTTCCTCATGTTTTCTTCTTCAATTTTAAGTGCCATGCATCTAAATGTTTAATCTTGTTTACAAGTGAAGTATTAATATTTATGTCCTCAAAAATTTTTCAATTAAAAAGAAGCTTATAATTGTATACAAATATTATGTTAAGTTTCCTTTTCGTGATAAGATTTTAAATCAAGATGTCATTAGTTATGATAAATTTTCAATTTGAATACCTCATGCATCATTTTTTACTCAATTTTTTTTTATTTGGAAAAATTTAATTAACATTTAAGCATGAAATACAT